GGATGAATGGATGGATGGTTGGATGGATGTTAGATGGGTTGAAAAATCATTGATGGATGGATGGATGGATGAATTGATGTATGTGTTGATGGGTGGATGGACGGGTTGATGGGTGGACTGGTGTTTGGACGGGTTGGTGGGTGTATTGATGTTTGGACAGGTTGATGGGTGGATTTATGTTTGGATGGGTTGATGAATGGAAGGATGGGTGGATGGATAGATGGGCGATGGTTTGGTGGATGTATGGATGGATAGATTGATGGATGGATTGATGGTTGGATGTGTGGATGAATGGATGGATGGTTGGATGGATGTTAGATGGGTAGACAAATCATTGATGGATGGATGGATGAATGGATGTATGTGTTGATGGATGGATGAACGGGTTGATGGGTGGACTGGTGTTTGGATGGGTTGGTGGGTGTATTGATGTTTGGACAGGTTGATGGGTGGATTTATGTTTGGATGGGTTGATGAATGGAAGGATGGGTGGATGGATAGATGGGCGATGGTTTGGTGGATGTATGGATGGATAGATTGATGGATGGATTGATGGTTGGATGTGTGGATGAATGGATGGATGGTTGGATGGATGTTAGATGGGTAGACAAATCATTGATGGATGGATGGATGAATGGATGTATGTGTTGATGGATGGATGAACGGGTTGATAGGTGGACTGGTGTTTGGACGGATTGGTGGGTGTATAGAGCTCTGGATGTCATGTGACTCTCAGAGAGTAGACGCCATGTTGGCAGGCAACAAATGTAAACAAAATGAACGGGATCGGCTTGGATTTTACTTCGTCGGAGTTTAATTCACACTTTAAAACCGAAGAAATCGTTTTATATAGTCAGAAATTAAATAGACTAAACATCTCCGACCCTTATCGTGCACCTGGGATACTTTTTTAAAACGCCAGAAGCTGTCGGAGCGGACTTCTTACCAGACCTGGCCAGGGAATGCCTTGGGATTCCCCCGGAGGAGCTGGCTCAGGCGGCTGGGGAGAGGGAAGTCTGGGCCTCTTGGCGCTACCGCCCCCGCAACCCGACTCCGGATAAGCGGATGAAAATGGATGGATGGATGGATGGATGGATGGATGGACAAATAACATAGATTTACATGTAATAAGTTTAAATAGAGTGCTGTGCTGTTTGAATGTATAAACTGAACGCCAAGAGAAATCACTAGTTTGATTTTTTTCCATGAATAAAATAAATATGTCAGGCAGGAGCGTCTCAGGATCTGTCTGAGATCTGTCTCGGTGAGACAGATAATAGCAATCCAAAGTGCTTTTTATGTGTGATCTGACAATGGATCAACCATTGCTTAAAAATTAAATACAGCTTAGCCGGTTAATTGCTGTGATCATAAAACACGTAAAAGGCAGCACGCAGAACTCACGAGGCAACGTTTTATGTGATGTTTACTTGTTGCTATGAGTAATAAGACAGAAAAAGCCACGCCAAAATAAGTTTAGAAAGCCCACTAAGAATCATAATAAAAGCATTTAAAATAAATACCACACACAGTTGAGGAAACGTTGGTTTAAGTACCTGATATGAAGCGGTCGCTGCATAAGCGAAAACCTTTACTCTCGGGATCCCACTGTTTCATTTCAGCCCGGTCACTAGCGCGTTTTATTACAATGATCCAACGTTTGTGGCGCTCCGGAGCTTGGGGAATCCTGTAGAGAGCTCATTCCTTATGTCGTCCGCGTCTGTTCTGGCACTCTGGGGCACAACAGGAATCTACCAAATTTCCCGTTTGATTGAGTTCTCTGACAATAACAAATAGTCCAGCTACGGGCTTTTGCTTGACAATATGGCGCCGTTTCGAGTTGAATTGTTGCATGCCGGGAGAAGTGACGTCAACTTCCGGAGCTCTATAGATGTTTGGACGGGTTGATGGGTGGATTGATGTTTGGATGGATGGATGGATGGATGGATGGATGGATGGATGGATGGATGGATGGATGGATGGGTTGATGGGTTGATGGGTGGATGGATGGGTTGATGGGTTGATGGGTGGATGGGTGGATGGGTTGATGGGTGGATGGGTTGATGGGTTGATGGGTGGATTGATGGTTGGATGGGTGGATGAATAGTTGGATGTATGGGTGGATGAATGGATGGATGGATGGATGGATAGTTGGATGGATGCATCACTGGAAGGATTGTTGGATTCATAGATTGATGGATGGACAGGTTGATGGGTGGATTGGTGTTTGGACGGGTTGGTGGGTGTATTGATGTTTGGATGGATGGATGGATGGATGGATGGATGGATGGGTTGATGGGTTGATGGGTGGATGGATGGGTTGATGGGTTGATGGGTGGATGGGTGGATGGGTTGATGGGTGGATGGGTGGATGGGTTGATGGGTTGATGGGTGGATTGATGGTTGGATGGGTGGATGAATAGTTGGATGTATGGGTGGATGAATGGATGGATGGATGGATGGATAGTTGGATGGATGCATCACTGGAAGGATTGTTGGATTCATAGATTGATGGATGGACAGGTTGATGGGTGGATTGGTGTTTGGACGGGTTGGTGGGTGTATTGATGTTTGGACGGGTTGATGGGTAAATTGATGTTTGGATGCGTTGATGAATGAATGGTTGGGTGGATGGATAGATAGATGGGCGATGGTTTTGTGGGTGTTGGATGGTTTGATGGATGGTTAGAGAGATGGATGAATGGATAGACTGATAGATGGATGGGTCTATGGGTGGTTGGATGGGTGAATGGATGGATGAGTGGATGGTTAGATGGATGAATGGATGGATGGATGGGTTGATGGATAGGTGATGGTTAGATAGATGGATGAATGGATGATGGATGGATGGTTGGATGTGTCAATCATTGGATGGATTGTTGGATTGGTAGAGTGATGGATGGATGGGTTGATGGGTGGATTGAAGTTTGGATGGGTTGATGAATGGATGGATGGGTGGATGGATAAAAGGGTGATGGTTTCTTGGATGTTAGATGGTTGGATGGATGGTTAGATGGATGGATGGATGGATGAATGGACTGATGGTTGGATGTGTGCATCATTGGATCAATCAATCAATCAAAGATACTTTATTAATCCCAGAGGGAAATTAGAGTTTCAGTACACACAATTCAGAGATCAGACATACATGGGCAAGACACATGACAAGAATTGGTGACTGTGGTCATTTGTAACCCTGAGTCGTGTTACCTTAATAGAGATAAGAGGGGTTACATGAGGATTGGTTCAGGTAAAGGGAAGAAAAGGCACTTCAGAGTTACCCTCCACTGGGAGGGCAGCTTTGCTCTGCAAAAAAACACCTCAGACAGATATGCAAAAGACTTCAGACAACACAACATAGGTGTCCACTAGGTGGGGTGGTGGGTTGGAACTATCCCCACTTCAGTTCCTGCAGCCACGATAAGCAGCGCATGTCACCTCAGTGTGGATAGGGGGAGGAGCATTGAGGGTTAGAGGGTTGCAGTGACCCTGGAAAGTTTCAGTGGCCTTCCCGCAGTCCCGCCCAGGCTGGGATAGGAGACAGAGTTGAGTTGCCATAGCGACGGCTCATTCCACATATCTTCTGAGGGGAGAGTTTTCGTTGGAGCCTTGCAAGCTCAAGGGCAACAGATTCCGATTAGAAATTGTTTTGGGGCCAGACAGAAACAATTTCCTCTCTGTCTTACAGTTTGTCGGTCCTCAACCTCTCAAAATCCCAATAATGGACATGAATCTATCCCAATCCGTGCTGATTCGTCCACTCTCTCCTTGATGGCATCCATCATTTGTGCCAATGAATGAATCTCGGCCAAAGTTCCAAGCTTACGATTCATCTAGACAATTATGTGAGTGTGAATTCACAGCGTGGTGCAAACCATCTCTGAGCTCCGGGATCAGGCCAATATTCCCCGACAGCTCGTTAATTTACCGGTAAGCCAGGTAGCCTCCAAGGCCAATGAGCAGGAAAACTGACACCAACACACGAATACCCACACGTCTTCAGAGTCCTCCGCAGACAGCTGAGCTAAACAAATCAAGTTCCACTGTTTCCAGGAGTCCATGATGTGTCCAACTGGGTCTGTCCCGGAGGGGGATCCGGGAGCCCCTTCTCCCGTTCTCATTGTTGAAAAAATTTTATCAATCGCGTTGAGAGACCAACTGACGAGATCCATTTTAGCAAATTTCAGTTTCCAGTTTCCAGAAAAAAATGCAGTCGTGCACACAGCACACAGAGACAGACAAAGTGACTTGAGGATAAGATATGGAGGACAGGAGGAAAAAAGCGTCTGCACCCTCCAAGAGCCAGAAGAAGAATGGATGGATTGTTGGAATGGTTGATTGATGGATGGATGGGTTGATGGTTTGTTGGTTGGAGTAATTGATTGATGGATGGTTGGACGGATGTTTGATGAATGGATGTGTTGATGGGTGGACTGATGGATGGATGGGTGGATGAATGGAGTGATGAATGGATGGATGGAATGATGTATGGGTTGATGGGTGGTTGGATGGGTGACTGGATGGATGTTTGGATGGTTAGATGGATGGATGGATGGATGGATGGTTGGATGGGTTGATGAATGTATTTGATGGGTGGGTGGATTCATGGGTGATGGTTGGATGGATTGTTGGATGGATGTTGGATGGATGGATGGATGGATGAATTGGTGGGAAGATGGATGGATAGATTGTTGGAAGGGAGGATGGATGGACTGATGGATGAATTGATGAACTGATGGGAAGATGGATGGATGGATGGTTAGATGGATGTTGGATGGATGGTTAGATGGATGTTGGATGGATGGATGGATGGATGGATGGATGGATGGATGGATGGTTGGATGGATGGATTGGTGATGGATGGGTGGGTGCATACATAGTTGGATTAATGGATGGGCCGATGGGTGATGATTGGATGAATGGATGGATGGGTCGATGGATGGATGGTTGGATAAGTGGATGGAACTAGATGGGTTAAAGCTCATTCAGTCCCAACTTACCCTGCGTGCCTCCTGCTGGAATTTGGCAGCCTTCTTGGTGTCAGCCACTGCCCTCTCAACAAAACCTACAGACTGGTCCATGTTGCTCTCAATTCTGTCTATCATGCCTCCCTGTTGGCATCAAAGGAGAGCACAAGATGAGACAAGTGATGATGTAACAAGTGACACACGTTTAGGAAATTTAGTGCCTGATGTATTTTAAAGGTGTTGAACACTCACTTGATAAATAAATTTGCAGTGGTCTCCAGTAGGAATTAAGGCCTTACAGACAGTACTCTGAGTACACAAAGTTCCAGTGCACAATTTTCAGGAACTAGAAGCGGGCCACATCAGAGGAGAGCATCAGAGGGCAGGATGTGGAATCTTATGTCTGATATTTGGACATCTCTCCTCTGATTAGCTAACAGCAACATGACTCTACCCCAACTCTGTTTGCCCTGCAACATTTATGTTTTATCTCCACTAATAACACAAGCCTGGAGGAGTTCTGCTGTGTGGTGGAGTTGCTAATGCTATCAGTTAGCTTTACTAGCTGAGACTTTCTCTGCTGTTTCCTGGACGCTAAACCAACAACAGCCTTCCCCGTCGTGAGTCAAGATGGGTGAGTCCATGAATGTTAGTGACAATGTGACATAGATCTGTCAGGATTTTCTAATCCTAGATTTTCACAGTCTGTTTTTTATCAGAAGCTACTGCAGGAGATAGGTGTAGGAGACTATTTTCATGATGTAGCATCCAGAAATGGTCAGTTTTTCATCTACAGTTTGACCTCTTCAGTATCTGGTTATATGGAGACATGAGTCTACATCTAGTGTCTTTAATCTGCTGGATCCTGCTATTCTGTCAGCTGGAGTCCAGGCCTCTGCAGCTTTGAACACAGGATAACATAGTGTCTACAAAACTGTTCCCGACTCAAGGCCTTATGCATCCCTTTATCGCTTCTACAGGATTCTTCCTGCCTCTGAATAAAAGTGAAAATTTTCAGCTCATATGAGTTAATCATATAATGAATGAACAATATGGTTAAATGAAATGTTTTGATTAATCTGTGCTTAGATTAATAAGGATGAAACGGCACTGCACATAGATATTTTCTTATCCACAAATCAGAGTATCCTGTATCTGGGAAATGTGTGGTTCTGAGGTTTGTTTGTCAATACCTCTTTACGTGTCAAATTCTGGTTGGCCATGTAATCATAATATGGAATTTTTTAAAAACAGAACCACTTGCTGAGTGATTCAGCTCTTTTTGAGCCGAACTCCGGACTGGCCACCGGAGGAAAACTCTCTAACCACCATATCTCTTGACAAGCTGTCAAACGTGTTGCATGCTGCAGCAACACAGAAACTTGCTCCTTCAGAACAAAGCGGACACAGCCAAGACTCCTTCAGAGTCCATCCTTTCATAGACTTAAACAACTACCTGTTGTGATCCGGGAGACGACTCTGGACCGACCTGGTCATACTGCGTTTTTTTTCTACAAACTTCGGTACCTTGGGGTCACCCGACTCCCCCCGACATCTCGAATCCAAAAGAGTGTCTCCTCAGGGGTACATAGAATACAGCAAGATTGCGTCTGATGCCGTTTTATGAACCATCACTTATAGTTTAATGCAGCCCAAATTCAGTCCCACTCAGTACTCAGTTTCCTCTAGATCCAAGGTTCTGATAAACATCACACACCATTCCATCATCATACATCACATTCCATCCACTTACATTCATCCATCACATTTGTCTTATTTATAACTTATCTTGTTTTTAACTTGTTTAGAAAATAAATTTCTTAATTTTTATAAACCTGATTCTGTCTGAATTAATACGAAGTGTGGTTGATCCCTGAAAAAGCAAAGAATCCTAATTCTTCTGATTAAACATTCAAAGATCAATCAGGGTGATAACCTATATCTATATAGAATATCACATCTAATTGGTCATAAGTAAGGTAATATACTAAGCTTAAAAGCAACATATTATACCCTCTTACAATGTTAAGCCTGCATGAAACACGCAGAGACCCATTAGAAGAAGAAATAATCATTAAAAAGCAGTTTTCAGTGTTTCACACCGTTAATTTTACATCTCTACGTGATGGAGTGCACAACTTTATTTCAGGTTTTGTGTGAAAATAAGTCCAGGACTTCAAATGCACTTCATCGGTGTCATCGAACCAGACACAGAGAAAAACTGTGGATAATGGCTGTAAGTTCAGCAAACTTCAAATCCTTCTTCCTTCAGGAGGAAAGAACCGCCATAAATCTGGTCACGTGCTAAATAGCAGCTACGCTAGGAGGGAGAAGATTATGTGGTGACGTCATATATGCAACCTGCCTATGTCTGATTTATAGATTCTAACTGATGATAATCATGCTAATTATGAAACTTTACAAGCTGATAAATGTAAGTACGTGACTGGCGTGGTCAAAATACACTTGATTAATTTTCATTGAAATAGAAGTATAACATATGTGTGATCCAGGACCTAAGGCAAAGCGAGTTAGAAAATAGCTCTTTCTTTCAAACTTCCTTCAACTAAACAAAGACAAGACTGAAGTTATCGTCTTTGGCAACAAGAAGGATAGAATGGATGTTATTGCTCAGCTAGACTCCAGGGGAATAAAGACAAAAACCCAGGTTAGAAATCTTGGTGTTATCATTGACTCAGACCTGAGCTTCTCTGGACACATTAAGGCTTTAACTAAATCAGCGTTTTATCACCTTCATCAAACATCAAACGTCAGAGGTCTCATGTCCAGACCAGACTTAGAGAAACTCATTCATGTGTTCATCTACAGTAGGCTGGACTACTGCAATGGTCTCCTAACTGGTCTTCCCATAAAAAGCTGTGAAGCAACTGCAGCTTGTTCAGAATGCTGCTGCTAGAGTCTTAACAAGAACTAAGAGAACAGAGCACATCACTACTGTTCTTAGATCCCTAAACTGGTTACCAGTAAACTACAGAATAGACTACAAAGTGATCCTACTAGTTTATAAATCACTCAATGGCATGGGGCCAAAATACACGTCCGATCTCATCCCTGTATACACACGCAATAGGGCTCTGAGATCCCTTGGAAACAATCAGCTGGTAGAACCTCTTTTTATGTGTTTTCATATCATGTCCAGATAACTGTAAAGCACATTGAATTGCCTCTGTGTTTGAAATGTGCTCAAGAAATAAAGCTACCTTGCCTCCTTTAGCCCTGTTGACTTGCATTCATTTTTTCATTGTTACAGGGACTCATGAGCTGACCGGAAAGGGAGGAGACTCGGGCTTCCTATAAGGTCTCACTGGATCACTTAGACTAGCGTAAGCATGGCTTTACTCTTTTATTATCCCATCACTGTCTGAGTCTCTAACCTATTGCTGTCGGTATCAGATGTTTAGTCATCAGATCAAGTCAAATAAAATTTATCTATATAGCACTTTTCATACAAAAAACAAAATGCAATTCTAAGTGCTTCACAGATTAAAATGGCCCCTTAGATCCCATATTCCCATCCCAGCCCCCCTCCCCAAGTATAAAACAATTGAAAATTATACTTCCCCTCCCGCAACCAATTTCCAAGGTGAACGTACACTCACCCACACACTCGCACACACACACACACACACACACACCGGCCCATGACCCCCACAACTGCCTGGGCACTACCCGAGGAGCGCCCCGGCCGCCGCCGCCGACCACCGGCCCCAAGGCAGAGGGCTCCGCAGAGGAAACACTGTAGGATTAAAATATATAACTGTAAAATAACAAAAGTTAATATGGATAGAAAGTAAATGATAAAAAAGTGATTATAACGATAGTAAAAGAAAACATAATCATAGAAAAACACTAAGATGTAAATAAAATAATAAAATTAAGTAAAAGAGATAAATAGGTATATTTATAAATAAACAAATACGTCAAGCGATACAGTTAAACAGACTAGATGAATAGTAATCAGTTAAAAGCTAACCTAAAACGGTGGGTCTTGAGCCTATTCTTAAAAGCTCGGACGTTCCCTTCGGCCCTGAGGTCCTCCGGAAGCCCGTTCCAAAGGCGAAGGCCGTAGTACTTGAAGGACGCCTTGCCGTGGGTGTGTGCCTTAACTTTAGGAATAATTAGGAGATGGCTGCCAGAGGAGTGCAGAGACCGCGAGGGTTTATATAGTAAAAGTTCTGAAAGATACGTAAGAAGGCCGGAGACCATTAAGACACTTAAAAACCATTAAAAGAATCTTAAAATCGATCCTGAAACATATGGGGAGCCAGTGCAGTGATTCTAAAACCGGAGTGATGTGCTCCCACTTCCTGGTCTTCATCAGGACACGTGCTGCTGAGTTTTGTAAAAGTTGTAAACCTGAGATGCTCTTTTTGGGAAGACCAGAAAGCAGGGCATTGCAGTATTTAATTCTACTGGTTATAAAAGCATGCATCAGCATCTCCGTATTGGCCCGAGAGAGAATGGGGTGGACTCTGTCGATATTCTTTAGATGATAAAACCTGTTTTTGTGATGTTTTTAATGTGGGGGATAAAAGTCAGCTCAGAGTCAAAAATAACACCCAGATTCTTCACTTGTAGTGATGGATAAAAAGACATTGATTGTAGTTTAGGTAAAAGTTTCTCTCTCTGGGTCTCAGGACCGATGGCTAAAACTTCAGTTTTACCTTGGTTGAGCTGGAGAAAGTTTTCAGTCATCCATGATTTAATATCTAAAATGCAGTTAAAAAGTGTTTCCATTGGCTGCGCGTCATCAGGAGACACGGAGATGTACAACTGTGTATCGTCAGCGTAACTGTGGAAATTCACCCCGTGTCTCCTGATGACGCTGCCCAGAGGGAGCATATAGAGGTTAAAAAGCACTGGGCCTAGAATCGAACCCTGAGGCACACCGCATGTGATGCTGTGGACCCCAGAGGAACAGGTATCCAAACTCACCACAAAAATCCTGTCTGTGAGGTAGGAAGTGAACCAACTGTGAACAGCACCAGAGAGGCTGATCTGTTTTAAACGGGTTAAAAGAACAGTGTGGTCTACTGTATCAAAGGCAGCGCTTAGATCCAGCAGAACCAACACTGTTGCCCTCCGGGCATCATAATTTGTTCTAAAATCATTTAAAATCTTCAGAAGGGCCGTCTCAGTGCTGTGGTTCACCCTAAAACCAGACTGAAATTTCTCTAGGACATGTTGGTGGTTGATGAAATCGTTAAGTTGTATTAAAACAAGCTTCTCTAAAATTTTGCTTAAAAATGGTAAGTTGGATACCGGTCGGAAATTGTTAAAGTCATTAAAATCTAAATTGCTCTTCTTCAACAGGGGTCTGACCACCGCCCGTTTAAAAGCAGCAGGAAAGACCCCGTCTGAAAGGAACAGTTCATCAAAGTTAAAATCTCGACTCTAAATGGGTCATAAAATTGTGTAAAAAACCTTGTGGGGATAGGGTCCAGAACACACGTGGTAGGCCTCACTGAGGAGAAAACTTTATCAATAATCTCAGCTTCAACCAAGACAAAACTGTCCAGTGTTTCCTCAGGTAGACACACACTCTCAGATTGATTGGGAGCAGCGTGACATTGGGAGGATAAAATGTTACGTCTGATGGTGTCTACCTTCCCTCTGAAGTGGGCTGCAAACTCCTCACGCCGGGGTCACACCGACCGCGGAAGCGCCGCGAAAATGGGGCCGCCTTCATTCGGCGCCCTTGTTAAGCTATTCTATAGACCACATGGGCCGCCAAAGCACCGCAAATCGCCTCGCGCCGGCGCCCCAGCCCGCGCCGTGCAGCGATCATTTCGGCGTCGGCTCTATTTTTTTCGCGAGCCGCGGGTGAATCGCGTCAATTCTGGCAGGAAGTCAAACCTAGACATAAGAGGCAGGCCGGTAAAGTTAACAAAATAAAGCATTTCAAAATAAAAATCCGCAATAGTCAAATGTGTTCGTAAACAGACACTGCAGAAAAACCACACGAACACACACACACATCGAACTTGTGTGCGTGTGTGACCACGTGAAGGGGTGTGTGGTTTTGGGTGTCTTTTCACCGGAGCAAACAGGACAGAGAGGCAGAAAGTCTGAGGCAAGCAGTTAAGATGGATGGCTTTAAATTAATTATGGAAGTTGAGAAACACAAGGAGCTGTACGACCCTCGAAAAACATGATTATTTACGTTACGTACCCATTTCGGAAGAAACTGCTAGGATACAGCTGCAGAATTGGAGTGGGTTCCAAGAGATTCAACTGGCAGATACCATAGGTTCACACACACACACACACACACACACACACACACACACACCACGCACGCACGCACATGCGCGCGCACACACATGTAGAGGAAAAGAGCTGAGAAAAGGCAGAGAGGAAATGGTGGACACCAAGTGTTTTAAAAGAAAAACTACAGCTGAGCCGAGGCGCGCCTCGACTGAGGGCGCGTCTGATCTGAACTGAGGAGCGGCGAGCAGCGGCCGAATTTCGTGAGCGATTCGCTTCTTGGTGCTTCGCGGCGCTTCCGCGGCCGGTGTGTCCCTGGCGTCACAGAGAGCGTCCAAGGGGGTTTTCTGGAGAGAACTACATTCACGACCCAAAACATTTGTGACTGTAGAAAACAGAATTTTGGGATTATTTTTGTGTTCAGAGATGATTTTAGAAAAGGAATTATTTCTGGAATTTCTAACTGCTTTGTTGTATGATTTTAATAATTCAGTGTATATTTGTTTATTAATTGTGTTCTTATATTTCCTCTTTCTCTCCGCCGCCCTGCAAGATCTTTTCAACATTTTTAAGTTTTCATTGCTCCAAGGGGAAGCCGGCTTTGGCTGTAGCTTTTTGACTTTAGGTGGAGCGAGCAAATCCAGAGTAGATTTTAGTCCACTGTTAAAATCATTGAAGATAAAATCACAGGGGGCATTTGAATTAATAGGAGGGATCTTTTTAAAAGTTTCCAGAAAACCAGCAGCCACTTCAGGGGTTCGATGGCGTTTCATTACAGTTCTCACAGAGGTCTCCTGCTGAATTATGCTGGTAATGCTAAAAAACACACAGAAATGATCTGAGATCGCTAAATCCACGACAGAGGACACACCGGTGGACAGACCATACGTGATGACCAAGTCCAGGGTGTGTCCTCTGTCATAGGTTGGTTGTGCAACATGTTGTGTAAAATCCATATAACTCAAAATGTTTAAAAATTCTGTGGTGAAAGGGTCTGCAGGGTCATCTATGTGTAAATTAAAATCACCAGCTAAAATAAAACTATCAAAAGAGTTGTGCAGAATTGATAAAATCTCGGAAAATTCCTGTATAAAAAGTGTGCTGTGCTTGGGAGGCCTATAAACAGTAACATAAAATCTGAAGATCGCTAAAAATGGCTGCACTATATTCGAAAGTAGTGAAGTTGTCAAATAAAACAGGTTTTAGCGGTCGGTAGATCTTTTAGAACTGCAGTTCAAAGGTAACTCATGAGGTGAATATATATGAAGCCAGGTAGCAGTTTCTCTTTAGGACTGAGAGGAGATGCAGGAAGATAATAAACAGGCAGGACAGAAAAATAGTCAAATAAAAACAAGTTAGTTGTTGTACCTGCTGGTTGCAACAAACAGACACCATTGAAGGTAATCAGAAGTGAGGAACAGAAAATGAAATAATTATTTTAATGTTTAGAGCAGCAGGAACTCTGAGAGGCTGCAGGCGCATCAGTGAGTTTGCGGCCGCTGTGCAGGGGGGGGGGGGGGGAGAGGGCTGAAGCAGAAACTACCGTTGTTAAAAGAAATGTGTTTAACTTTGAAAATGTGGGCGCAATTTTAATTGTCAAAAACTCCAGCGAACCATTAGTTCATTTTGCTCAAATAGAAATAGAGGCCTGCCTCTAATACTGGCCCTCCTTCCAATAAAGGCCTGGAGCTTGATGAGTTGAGTCAAATACAGGCCCGGGCCTGTATTAGAGGATTTACGGTATCTAAAAATAGGTCATTTATAATAAAAGTTTTGTTCAGCAGAGAGCGAACATTTAAGAGCCATACTGATAGTAGCTAAAGATGGAGTGACTGTGTGGTTTACTGAGGGTGAGATTCTTGACAACTGTTTAAGATTATTAAGATTAGACCGGTTAGTTTTATGTTTATGTGATCGCTCTCTGCTGATGACAGGTATGTGAGAGGTGTGCAAGGGTCCAAGTCCGATATGTGGGTTACTGTTAAAATCATAACTGGGTTCATAGGTTCCTGGACCAGTGGGACATCATGACGCGGGGGCAGGAGGTTGGGGCATGGGGCAGCTGGGGGTGGTGTGGTGGATAGAGGTGGTCGTGGACAGACCAGGCTCATTTTAAGTGTGTGGGTTCCCTGTCTATTTAGATGGAGTCCATCTGGCCCAAACAGAGAGGGTGTCTGCAGAAACAACAGCTGATCTCTAGTGTAAACAGTAGGTGCATGAACATGAACAATTTCCCAGTGTGTTCCCAGAAAGTTCCAAAACCAGTAAAAAAAAAAAATGAACACGATCAACACAGAAAAAAAAAAGTTTTGTTTACAACTCAACAGATACTGGAAAGTTTAACTGCTGGGAAAAATAATCTTATGTTTATTTTATTCCTTTCTTCGAGAGATAGAGGCGTAATGTAAGACATCTACTGCAGCCAGCCACAAGAGGCACTTCTTTTGTTTTGGCTTCAACTCTCAGGTTGTGTTTGAATATCAAGTTAATTATGCTGATGACGTACCTGGTTCTCCACCAGCATGGCAATGTCAACGAACATGTCATGGAGCTCTTTTATGCTGCTTTCCAGTCTCATTATGTCTTTGTGACGAGCCTCGATTTCATTCAGGGCCTGCTGATTGATTTTTGACTCTGTGATCTAAGAAAGAGACATGAGAAAAGGACAGAACTGAACAAAAATAATAATTGTTTTCTGGCAGAAGCAAAATAAAAAAAATATTAATACTCACACATTCTCTGCCTGTGCAGAAAGTAGCTTTATTTATTAATACATGGCTGCATTTCAAGTTCTCACCACCTCGGGCTTGTCAAAGATAAATAAAAGGAAAGTTTTTGGTGCAATTTTGAAGTTGCTTGATAAGTTTGGGATGATATCACGTTATAAGTTTAACTTCAATAAAAGCAAAATTCTACCTATAAAATTAGTCATAATTCTTTTTGAGGTGGGAAGTAGAAAACACAAGTATTTCAATAGTATTATGAAAGCCACTATACTCTAAATACCATGATTAAAAATAGAATAGACGTTATTCATCCCACAGTAAAGGAAATTCACTTGTTACAGCAGCACCAACACTTAAGAGAATAACCAGAAGAGAAAGGTTAACCCTAACCCTAACAAAGGTACACGTATGTACACATAGGCAGTTCCAACACTATGCAGCATGCTGTAAGAGACACACACATACTATGTACATCTGGTACTACACTAGTACTGAACACATACTGAGTACTGCATTGGTGGTATTGTGTACCAGGATAACGCCAGTACCAGTTAAACTGAGGAGGTCTATACACTCGTACTGCAGAGGGGATAAATGACCTACGGTAGCGTTCTGTTTTATATCTGGGACGTCTAAGTCTGCCTCTGAAAGTCTCCACAGTGGGAAGCAGTGGGTGGGAGGTTGCTTAAGATGGAGGTCATCTTCCCCAGCATCCTCCTTTCACACGTCTCCTCAGCTGAATCCAGTGGGCGGCTCAGAACCGAGCTAGCTTTGTGAACTAGCTTGTTCAGTCTCTTCCTGTCTCGGTCAGAGCTGTCTGCACCCCAACAGACCATCAGAGTGGATAACAGAGCCAACCACAGAGTGATGGAAGGATTTTAGCAGCAGAATTAACTCCGAAGGATCTCAGCCTCCTCAGGAGGTGGAGGCAGCTTTGGTCCTTCGTGTACAGCATCTGTGTTGTTGGACCAGTTCAGTTTGCTGTTGAGGTGAAGACCCAGGTACTTAAAGGTATCCACCTCCTCAATGTCTGCTCCCTGGATGTTTACTGGTGAGTGAGATGGAGTGTTTCTCTGGAAGTCAGTCACCATTTTCTTTGTCTTACTGGTGTTCAAGTGGAGGTGGTTAAACTCACACCAGTCCACAAAGTCCATGATGACTGACCTGTACTCCAGGTCATTCCCCCAGACACACAGCCGACAATGGCCGAGTCACCAGAGAACTTCTGGAGGTGACAGCTGCTGGTGTTGTAGGTGAAGACTGAGGTGTAGAAGGTGAAGAGAAAGGGTGAGAGCACCGTGCCCTGTGGAGCTATAGAAAATAACTATGGAATTTGTGGAGCAAATACCCTTTGGAGCTATGGAAATAGTAACTGTAACTTAATACAGTTACTCATCTTTAGTATTCTAAATACTGTATTTCAAATACCGTAAATCCTCTAACACAGGCCGGCATTCAAATAACGGACGGGTCTCCAATTTTGGCCGGTGTCGGAGTCGGCGGAGGTGAATAATGGCCGGTCTCTTATTGTGGCCGGGTGGAATGTGGTAACAAACAAGTACGGGGGCGGTTGTGTCATCGTCTCACTTTTGATTTGCCAGTGATAGACCGCGAGGGTAACTTTAACCGTGCGGAGACGAAGAGGAGGCGAAAATTTGACATCAAGTTCAAAGAGAGCGTGCGCTGCAGAACACTCTGGGGAGCAGTAGGGGTTGTATGAACTAATCAACTTCACTATAGTGACTTTTTATGCCTGCCATCGACTAGTCGCTGTCACGTGATAATGACCGGCAAGATGCAGCCCTCGGAAAAGACAGTAGCCTGCTGTCAGCAGGTGACAAGCTCCTGCGCTCGGGGGGGGGGGGGGGGGGGGGGGGGCAACGCGCTGTGCCAGAGCGTCGGTACTGACACGCGATCATTCATGTCGGTTCATTTCCTTTAATGTTTTCTGTCTTTTATTTGTGCCTGATGTGTTTCGCTGCTGTGGAGCGGGGCACATCACCTTGTCATTCGATGACGCACAGATCACTGATGCGGCCGCCAAGCACGGAGCACTCCGCTGTTTCTGCGGTCGGTAGATCTGCCTCCTGAGCACGGCCACAGTAACAATCAGGTGTTGCCACCTCAAAAACTAATTTAACACACGATCGTTCATGTCGGTTCATTTCCTTTAATGTTTTCTGTCTTTTATTTGCGCCTGATGTGTTTCGCTGCTGTGGAGTGGGGCACATCACCTTGTCATGGCCTGGAGCTTGATGAGCTTGAGTCAAATACAGGCCCGGGGCTGTATTAGAGGATTTACGGTACATGTATTCAGTTACTCCCCAACACTATGTATGAGACACCTATCTGAGGTCATTTGCCATGTTTACTCTTTGGGGTCACAACCTAAATAAATAGATCTTACCCCAGCAGTGAAAACAGCAGAGTTCCCCCCCTCCAACATCTCCTCCAGTTCCTCGTCAGTGGTTGTTTTTCCCGCTGTAGAAGATCATGTTTCATTAAACAGATGAATTATCACACGGAACAATTTGAGTTATTCTAAAAACTCTTCATCCATTCTGTTTACTATTTAATTTTATTTAATTTAGTTCATTGTCAGTTGACTTGTGACAAGTCAAATGACCACATTAATGTTGTCGTCATCTTCCTCCGCTTATCTGGGTCCGGGTCGTGGGGGCAGCATCCCAACTAGGGAGCTCCAGACCGTCCTCTCCCCGGCCACCTCCACCAGCTCCTCCGGCAGGACCCCAAGGTGTTCCCGGACCAGATTGGAGATGTAACCTCTCCAACGTGTCCTGGGTCGACCCGGGGGCCTCCTGCCGGCAAGACATGCCTGGAACAACTTCCCAGGGAGGCGTCCAGGAGGCATCCTGACCAGATGCCCAAACCACCTCAACTGACTCCTTTCGTTCCAGAGGAGCAGCGGCTCTACTCCGAGTCCCTCCCGAATGTCCGAGCTCCTCACCCTATCTCTAAGGCTGAGTCCGGCCACCCTACGGAGGAAACAAATTTTGGCCGCTTGTATCAGCGATCTTGTTCTTTCGGTCATTACCCAAAGCTCATGACCATAGGTGAGCTTATTTAACATGCGACCTTATGTTCGAACATGGTGTTTGTTATGGCCAAACTGCAGCTTGCACAGAAGTCCAATAACAAAACACCACTCGAGTTCAGATCAGGCGGGCCGTTCCTTCCAACACACACACACCCCTCCAGACACACGCCCCTCCAGGTCAAGCTGTCATTGCCCACGTGAGCATTGAAGTCCCCAATAGGACAATGGAGTCCCCTGATGGAGCACTATCTAGCACTCGTCCCAGGGACTCCAAAAAGGGTGGGTACTCTGAAATGATTTTTGGCCCATAAGCACAAACAGTCAGGACCCAATGGCGCAGGGAAGCTACCCTCTCATCCCCCAAGGTAAACCCCAACACACAGGCAGAGAGTCTTGGGGCTAACAAAAAGCCAGCCCCAGCCCTCCGCCTCTCACCCGGAGCAACTCCAGCAAAGGAGAGTGTCCAACCCCTCTCAAGGACTTGGGTTCCAGAGCCAATGCTACGTGTCGAGGTGAGTCCGACTATATCTAGCCGGTACCGCTCAACCTCTGCCACAAGCTCCGGCTCCTTCCCCGCCAGCGAGGTGACGTTCCTTGTCCCAAAAACCAGTTTTCTTGTCCGGGGATCGGACCGCCGAGGCTCCCCCCTTGGTCTGCCACCCGATCCGCATTGCACCGGACCCTTCATGTTCCTCCTGCGGGTAGTGGGTCCACAGTTGGATGAGCCCATGTATCCGGTTCGGGCTGGGCCCGGCCGGGCCCCATGGGCGAAAGCCCGGCCACCAGGCACTCGCTCACGGGCCCCAACCCCAGGTCTGGCTCCAGGGTGGGACCCCTGTAACCCTCCGGGCCGGGTACTCAGACTCTTTGAATTTACATCCATGAAAGATCTTCTGAATGTGTTGGCAGCATTTGTGTGATGACACAAAGCAGGTTTGGTACGATTGTGAACTTGATTGTAGAAGTTATTAAAGCTTGAAATTAATGTAGGGCACTGTGGCAAAATTAGACCAGGTTCACCAACAATTTGCAAAGATTTTTTTCAGGGGCTGTATTAATCACCATCGCTAAGGTCCAAAGCTTTTGGAGGCCTCTAGAGGACCCTTAGATCCCAGGTCCAGATTTTGGCCCAAGTCGGGTATTCAGGGTTGGATGTACAGACCAAGACCATGATCCAGGGGCCTCATTTATCAACCATACTTATGAACAAATCTGTGCATAAATTGCATAGCAACCAATTAATGCATTGTGTAGTATTCACTGCAGACCTGTCGCATGGAGGCCCTGGCCTGGGGACACTCCTCACGTCTGTCCGGGCATCAAGGACACTCCAGTTCCTGCGACGTGCCCTCTGGTGGCACTGCAGCTTACAAAACCAGATTCCGGCCGGGACCCTACGTCTTTTGCCTGTCCCGAAGAGGTCATGTTCTCACATTGGATTGAATTTTGTTACTACCCTCCCTCCTGTTGACCAGCTAGACACCATCCTCACTATCATGGTCCACTTCTCCAAGGCTGTCCACCCAGTAGCCCTTCCCAGTCTTCCCACTGGCCGATGAACCACGGAGCTGCTTCTTAAGCATGCGGTTCACATTCATGGCTTTCCAGGGGATGTGGTTTCTTATTATGGACCTCAGTTTGCCTCCCAGTTCTAGGAAGTTTTCTGTCATCTGGTGGTGGCCAGTCCTACCCTGTGCACCACATACCACTCCCAGATAAATGGCCAAGCAGAGAGGACCAATCAGCAGCTTGGGTGCTACCTGCGCTGCTTCATGTCAGCACAACCCTCCAGTTTGCCCAAATACCTCCTCTAGGCCAAAATCTCCCACAATCTCAACTGTCACAGCTCCAGCTCCATAGCCTTCCCCAGACTCTCAACCTCCAGAACTCCACTACCCAACAGCCACAACCCGAGACTTCCTGATCATGTGGCGCGCCCGCTCTATATATGGAAGTGGCTTACTTCCACTCATCGTTCCTGTTGGAACCTTGCTTCAAGTGTAGCTGATCAGCCAGCCAGCTTACCAGCCTGTCGACTTCCAGTAAGTACAATTTTTTTTACCTGTTGTGGAACCACAGCACGTCCTGAACCCCTGGTCAGCATGTGACGATTCCTATAGCAAACTGTGTGTCTGCTCTACCCAGCGCCAGTCACTCCGCGTTCATGTTTTTCCACACATGCCACAACCAAACTCCAGTCCTGTCACCTTGGTCCTGATTCACTTTTTTCACACAGATGTGTGTGTGTGTGTGTGTGTGTGTGTGTGTGTGTGTGTGTGTGTGTGTGTGTGTGTGTGTGAAGCGGGGGTGCTTGTGTCGGTCGTGTGAAATGAGTATGTTGACTATTGGGGTCTTTCTCAATGCCAAGGAAGCTCGCCTTGATGTCTTGGCCTCGCGCTGGTTGCCTAGGAGATACGTCATCGGGAGCAGCCAAGGTGTGTTCCAGTGTTCATGTTCTTCCAAGGCGTGTGTTCTCCGTTTGTTAGCCATTTAGCTAGCTGAGCAATGATACACGGGGGGTGTCTTATAGCCTAGCCTTGGTCAAAAATTATCCACAATACACTGTGGTATTTTCAAAAGACGGCGGATCAGAAACCGGCAGCTACTTCGGGGACAATTTCTCAAGTTTAAAAGTAAGTCAACTAATTTAAAATGTTTATTTTTTTAATCCAAATAAGTTGGCTATAGTTGGTTAGTTGCTTATTAGTTCCAGCTTCAGTGGCTAGCGGGTAACTCACTTACATGTTTAATTTAATAAACATGTTCACCAGGGTTTCCCTTACATAGGCGTAGCCGTGGCGGCCCGCCACGGCTGAAATCCCACCGCCACGCCTACAAGACCCCAAGTTTTTTTTTTGCGCTGTTTCCCAAAGAAGCAGCGGGAACTACTATGTTGTCGCCTGTGATCACAGCCGGCGGGCAGCAAGGAGGAGCAGGCAGAGCAAGGTGCAGTTACAGCATAAGTTACTGAGTTTAAAATTAGAAAGGTAGCAGTGGATATAATGCTTTTACGTTTACATGTTTCAATAGCGTTAAGATAAACGAGTGTTGACCATCTTGCCAGGTTTTCTCCCCCCACCAGGCTCAGCGTCACTTATTCATGTAAAATTTATTTATTTTTTCATGTCTGACTTTAACTGCATCTAATACTGCATTACGGCATGAGCGCAACAGCGACAACTTAAGATCGATGTGTGAGCAGCCTGAGAGGTCGGGTGTTTCATCTGAACCCTTAAAACCTCCAGCAGGCTACGCTGCACTATTGACGTGTTAGCGCGCGGCGCTAACAACTTAGCGACGTGACATGTCTCGGAGAAAGCGTAAAAACACGTTGGATGCTTCTTCTGAAGCGGGAAAATAACACCTCTTCTTAAGCAGAGCACGACGTCGCCTCGGCTCGTTCACGGCCGAACCGGACTGAGCTCGATAACATGACCCAGCACAGCCACTGGGTCGCTGGAGCTGCCCCGTGACTGCCTGATGGAAAACCAGCGGGTTTCATCAGACTCGTAGTTTCTTGTTTTTGCTGGGGACCCCCTGTATTTTACCGCTCCCTCCTGCAGTCTTCCCCTATTAACATTTAAAATGATTCGTGTATCAATAGAAACAATCTCTGCCTCTGCCAGCTGCAGTAAATGTAGTCTCCAAATAATAAATAAGAGGTGCATTCATCTGTGTATCTCCTTTGATCCGCATTAGTGATATTCTCAGCACCAGAACAGTGAAGCAAAGAAAGATTCCAGAGTTTGTTAGTGATTTTATTTATTAGGTGCATCTAACCTGTTCTATTTTTCTCTGAAATGAGATCAAATCAGTGCTTCTATGGGTTGTCTCCACTCTGCACTGGAAAATTGTACTTTATTTAGAGACGTGCCATAGTTAAGACCAGAATAAGAATGCATTTATTAGAAAAGTCTTGTCTTCATGAGAACTTGGAGTCTGCAGACTACAAAGCAGGAGGGAGGTTGTTGTGCCTGCGAATCCAGATGTTGCAGCTACAGAAGGAGAATGGTTTTGGTACAGGGAAGAACGCAATATTCCTGGCAGAAGAAAGCTGCCAGACACTTGAATGTCTGTTGACCTCTGACATTGCTGAGGCAGACTGTGAGCAAAAACCTTGCTGTACTTCAACGCTAATATGTAACATGTGAGCGGAAAAATTTCTGTTGAAATATATTAAAATGAAAAATGCTCTTACCTGTTTTTGCTTCCAAGTCTGTGAGCATGTTTAAGTTCCCACGCTTCAGCAGCTCATTAGTGGACTCAGTGGTCTCCTTTAAAAAGCAGCTGAAAACTCACTTGTTCAAGCTGGTTTTGCGTGACCTTCGTCACCCTCTCCTTATTCTGCCCTTATTCCACCTTTCCCGCGATCCATTGATTTCCTTCTTTCCTGTTCATTTTCTCTCTACCTCTCCTTACATTTTTGAAATCAAAATTTTTTTCATTTCTCATTGTAAACAAACCTTTTTAGAAATCTTTTTTATACTTGAATATGTTTTTGTTTTTGTAAAGTGCCTTGTGATTTTTTACCTGAGAGGCGCTAAATAAAACATAGAAAGAAAGAAAACTTTCTTTCTTTCTTTCTTTCACCATTTACATCGTCCCTGTTTATCCTGTTCCCATCGACTGCTGCTGCTGGCGCAGAACTGCATGGCTGTGCACCTTCAGTATTTAACATAAATGTAAGTTCAGATTCAGAAATGGAGCTCTGTGCTGCTGCTGCTAATCCTTTTCTTTTCTGAGCAGAGTCAAGAATGTTTTCCTTGAGTGACGGCACTTCCGGTTGCCAGAAAGAGGTGCTGTTTTAGACGAATGAGCTAGGAGTGCCTAGTTGGAACAGTAAAAGCACCTTTAATTTTCAAGTATCTTCCTTTTTATAAAATATATAAAGTTAAGACCTGCTACAATATAAGGGTTCAACATGTGTTTAACGTGGAAGAAGCACTTTAATACGTTAACCCTTTGGTGCATAATGGTCACTACAGTGGACAGGTACTCAAAATTGTTATTTATTTGTTTTTGCTATTAAGCACAACTGTTGAAGACTTTATTGCATTTGAGCCCCTCCATTTCGACTTTAGCAAGTCAAGACAACATATTTCATGTTCAGAATGCACATTGTCCACTGAGGTAGACATGTAATAAACTATGTGTAAATTAAATGTTACAAAAAATATGTAAATACAAAATTTGTTTCATTCACACCTAAAGATGAATGAAAAAAATTGTTTAAAAAATCATGGTTGAAGATTTCATAATTCATGCATCAAAGGGTTAAAAGTAACTCTGTGAGATAGGATGGCCCAAGGCCATTGAGAAATGCAAAAACGAGTGACAGAATTTAAAAATGGATGGTGAGGCGTACTGGGAGCCAAAGCAGTGATTTCAAAACCGGTGTAATACGCGCCTGCTTCCTGGTCCTACTCAGCACACGGGCTGTTAACAGTTCAACTCCCAGCTGATGTTTGAAGAAATCATTTGTGGAGACCAAACCACTCTTTGTGTTTGTGTTATGACACTGAGTGTGAGTAACTTACTGATTTCAAGCTGTCGGGCAATTCTTCCTTTGCTTTTATCTCGGAAGTCAACTTGAGCCTCGTTGTATTTTGTCATAACTTCAACAAACTTTTTAGCCAGAACTGCATGCTGTTGGAACAGAAACTCCAGTTATCAAAGTCACTCCTATTTATTCAACCTCATACACCCTTTTCCCTAATAAATGTAAATAATAAGTTGTTGTATGTAAGTGTTTTGTTTTTTTTCTAGCCAAGGAGATGTAGTTGCTGTTGCAGCAAAGGAAACTAAAAACATTCGTCCATTTTCCTGAATTTATCCTATGGGTCACAGGAGCAGCAGCCTAAGCAGAGAGGACCAGGCTTCCCTCTCCCCAGACACTTGGACCAGCTCCTCCGGGGGAATCCCAAGGTGTTCCCTGGCCAGGTGAGAGACATAGTCCCTCCACCATGTCCTGGGTCTACCTTTAGATCTTCTGCCAGTTGGACGTGCCCGGAAAACCTCACCAGGGAGGCGTCCAGGAGCCAACTCAACTAGATGCCTGAACCACCTCAACTGGCTCCTCTTGACATGGAGGAGCAGCGGGTCTACTCTGAGCCCCTCCCGGATGACTGATTTTCTCACCCTATCTCTAAGGGAGAGCCCAGTCACCCTTTAGAGAAAACTCATTTTGGCTGTGATCTCGTTCTTTCGGTCACTACCCAAAGCTCATGACCATAGGTGAGGGTAGGAACGTAGATCCACCGGTAAATCGAGAGCTTCACCTTCTGACTCAGCTCTCTCTTCACCACGACAGACCGGTACAACGCCCGCATCACTGCAGATGCAGCACCAATCCGCCTATCGATCTCACGCTCCAGTTTTCCCTCACTCGTGAACAAGACCCCGAGATACTTAAACTCCTCCACCTGCAGCAGGGTGGCTGCAGCATTCTGGTGTCTACTGACCTGTGACTTGCGTATCCTGAGATCAGCCGAGGCTCTTTCATCTTTGTTTGACTCAAGCTGTCTCTCAATACCTGAAGCACACAAACACCACATGCTCCATGTTACTTGTTCCAATCACAGAATCTGTTGTAAGGTTAACAGCAAAGGGTTGTTGAAGCTCAACTCAGCTTTACAATGTTCTGCTTCAAATTTAGACGGGCTACTCATTTCATTGTGATCCAGAGAAACATGGTACAACTCTCAGTGCTTGTTCCAAAAATGCATTTGTTAGTCTTGTGTTGAGTTTTGGTTGATTAATTTAAAAAGGAATAATAAATAAATAAATAAATTCACAAACGGACTCTTCAGCTTGTTTCTTGCATTGTTGGCTGACTTTTTAATGTCATTGGTAAGGGCTTCGACATCATCCTGGGTTTCTGAAATAGATCATCAAAAACATGGTGATAGGACCAGGTGCATGAATCAAACCAATCAGGAAATATTAGAAGCTCTTACTCTGGTCAGATGTGGGGGCTGACAGGATGGTGGAGTAGAGTTTTTTGATTTCTGTAATGCTCTCATCAATCTTCTCAATGCTGGTGCGTATATCTTCAATCTAAAACAAAACACACCTATGAAGTATGGAATGAACATGTTTCAGTCGCATTGGCAGGCACATTGATTACCTGGGCAAAGAAGTCGTCCATGAAAGCCTCGTTTTCCACTGGAACCTCAACGTCATCAGCAGTCTGGTCACTCTTCTGTTAGAATGATGTCAAACAGGAAAAGCAACAATCTACAGGCGCTGTCTGTAAGGCTGAATCTCATTAAGACTTTTCATGTTATGAGAAACGTCTGTCATGGGAAAGTTGAGCCAGGACATGGTAGGTTCAGCAGTAATCAGCTCTGGATCAAAGTCTACTAAACACTGGGTGGACAAGAACAACTCATGATGTTGGTTTTTACGCCCTGATCAACAGTTTTATTTCAGTTAATTTTGCAGTAAGCACCATATTAACTAGAAAAAGTAAACGACTGGATGCAGTCAAACTTCCTTCAACTAAACAAAGACAAGACTGAAGTTATCGTCTTGGCAACAAGAAGGATAGAATGGATGTTATTGCTCAGCTAGACCCCAGGTGTTGGTGTTATCATTGACTCAGACCGGAGCTTCTCTGGACACATTAAGGCTTTAACTAGATCAGCGTTTTATCACCTTCATCAAACATCAAGAGTCAGAGGTCTCATGTCCAGACCAGACTTAGAGAAACTCATTCATGTGTTCATCTACAGCAGGCTGGACTACTGCAATGGTCTCCTAACTGGTCTTCCCAAAAATGCTGTGAAGCGGCAGCTTGTTCAGAATGCTGCTGCTAGAGCAAGAACTAAGAGAACGGAGCACATCACTCCTGTTCTTAGATGCCTACACTGGTTACCAGTAAACTACAGAATACACTACAAAGTGCTCCTACTAGTTTATAAATCACTCAATGGCATGGGGCCAGAAAACATGTCCGATCTCATTCCTGTATACACACCCAATAGGGCTCTGAGATCCCTTGGAAACAATCAGCTGGTAGAACATTGGGTCAGAACCAAACCTTTCAGGTGTCTTTCAAATAAGGATAATTTACATATGTTAATCAAGGTCTTTTTATTCTATCTGCCATGAGGCTGAAACAAAAAGAAATCTGGAATGTTTGGGAATTAAGTGTTGAATGAAAAATATCAAACAAATAAGAGTAGAGGTCGATTAACAACGGATTTGCATGCTTGAAAATAAGTGAAAAGCAGTTGGCAAATTGTTGTGGTTCCCTGTCCCCTTTTGGAATGTAAACAAAAACATGTAAACAAAAACATCGGCTCGTGTTTTCAGAAACCAGTAGACACAAGAGTGGGTTTGTGCTCGGCTGACAACCGCCTACTCGGCCTAACCCTAACCCTAACCCTCTGACAAATCATGTAGTTTCTGACTGAAATGCTTCATGTTGGTGAAAAATTTAAGCTTTATCATACATCTAAGTCTCAATAGGTTAACATTTAGCTTACTGAGTGATTCGGTTGTTTCGTAAGCCAATTCAATTGTTTTCCTTTATAATGTACTTGAGTATTATTGTAACAGCCCGGCTCGTGGGTCTGCAACAAAAGGAGGAGGTCAGGACACAAGGTTAATGTTTAAGAGTATATTTTTTTAAATTAAAGCCAAGCCTCTAAAAGGCCTCACCAAAAAAATGCCACACAGGCAAGAGCTACCTCTGATCAGCCTCAACTTCTCATCCTCCTGAGTCTCTCCAACTTGCACTTAGCAGCCTTTTTTGGCTGCACAGGTGCAGCCACTCATCAAAAGTCCAGGCTGCACACGGCCACACCAATAATAAAGCAGAAGGGCGTCGGCACAAACATCTGAAGCAGCCAATCAACTGGTTGTACTGGCACAGCAGTCCCTTAAGAGGACGGGTTCTTGTTTTCTTCCATTAGCAGGGGTTGTAACAATTATGGAATAGTATGTAAAGAAATTATTTCTTTTGGAAAAAGGGGAGCAAAAATTACAAGCTCTTTTTCCCCATTTTGCTCCTTTTCATTCTAATTAGATTTTTGTTGTATATATTCTATTGTTCATATGTTTTATTTGTTTTTATTTTGGTGCTTAAATACAACCACTGCAAATCTGCCTCAAACTATTTTTCAAACCACAATTTTTCCTGTTGTCCTGGCCTCTGATTTAGTGATGTTGAAATCTTTTCTAGTAGGCTAGTGTACGCCTCCTGTTGTTTTGACTAAGGCCCTGTCCACACGTAGCCGGGGATCTGCCAAAACGTAGATATTTTCCTACGTTTTGGCCTGTCGTCCACACGAAAACGGAGTTTTTTCACACAAAAACGGATCTTTTTAAAAACTCCGGCCAAAGTGAAGATCTGCGTTTTCTCCGTTTTGGGTGTCTGCGTGTGGACGGACAAAACCGGAGTTTTAAGGTCCGCAACGTCACTTTCCGCGACAAAAAAAATGCTGACATCACGTGTGCGACCTGTGTTTACACTAGCCGACAGCATGGATGCCCTCAGAGCTGCGCTCGCTTTATCAATTGTCCAAGCGCTTTTTGCTTGTTTGTTTTTGCAAGAGGAATTACTGCTGCTTGCGGAAGACCACAGACGAAGGACGAGGTTAAGAACGGGGGAAGTACTGCCGCCTACAGGTCTGGCATGTCCTTAACAACGTATTTATCCGGGTACGTGTGGACAGTTTGTTTTTAAAACGCGGTGGTGTGGATGCAAGTTTTTGGAGGGGCGGATATTCGTTTTTAAAATAACCCCGGCTACGTGTGGACTAGGCCTAAGTCTTTGTTTGGCCCTGCCTTGGCCTTGTTTTGTTAAGTGCCAGACAATCAGTGTAAGGTGACACTTGTCCTACTTATCTCGTGCTGCTTTGTGATAGTTACAGATGCATCAGTCTTTTATTTTATTTTTTGTTGTTTTGTGGGTGTAAGTGTTTTAGTTGTTCATTATCCTTCGATTAACCTTTACCCTAGTTAGGGTTCCTCGTCACAGCACTTCCTATGTGGTATTTTTTTTATTGCTCTTTTCTTTTGTTGTGGAAATCCTTTCGCCTCCAGTTGTTTTTGGTTTTGATTATTCACGGATTTTAATGAGGTTTATTTTCGTTAGATGATTACGTTGACTGGTTACCTTGCTTCACCTGTGTAGACTGGAAAGGTTATTTTCCTGATTACTACTGGTTTTGTAAATGTAAATGTAAATGTTCAAATGTCGGACACAAAGAGATACATCAGTGATCTGATTGTTCCATACGTTCCTAACCGAGCACTTCACTCTCAGACTGCAGGTCTACTGGTGGTTCCCAGAATATCTAAAATTAGGATGGGAGGCAGATCTTTTAGTTATCAGGCTCCTCTCCTGTGGTACCAGCTCCCAGCTTTAGTCCGTGAGGCAGACACTTTGTCTACTTTTAAGACTAGGCTTAAAACATTTTTATTTGATAGGGCCTATGGTTAAAATCTGATGTTAGCCTAAATCAGGACAAGTGGGGGAGTAGAGGGAGGTGGAGTGTACAGTCGGTAAAGACGGCTCTCCCTTGCCCTGACTCCAACATGCCTACATCTAAAAAGGCTTGGTAATCCAGAGTTATCTCTGTAGTTATGCTGCTATAGGCTTAGACTGCTGGAGGATACACTGACCACTTTTCACACTCTACTACTTTCTTCTACAATCTGCTCTTTAACTGTATTATTTCCTGCTATTTCAGCTGTTAACTTTATTTTCTCTCTAAGTGTTTTTCTCCCCAGAAGAAGCTACAACGATGTTCTGCTGAGCTGTGGTGGCCTCATGGAGGGGGCCATCGACTAGCACACTGCTGCTAACCACTTAAACATTCTCCTTCTCCTGATAATAACTTTTTGCTTTCCTTGACGTTGGATGTGCTACTACTAGTTTATCTGATTAATTATAGATCCACTAGGATAAATACAATAAAGTTTATCTCTCACCAAACAGAATATTTACTAAGAAATCACAATATAACTATAGACACATTACTTTGTGTGTGTGTGTGTGTGTGTGTGTGTGTGTGTGTGTGTGTGTGTGTGTGTGTGTGTGTGTGTGTGTGTGTGTGTGTGTGTGTGTGTGTGTGTGTGTGTGTGTGTGTGTGTGTGTGTGTGTGTGTGTGTGTGTGTGTGTGTGTGTGTGTGTGTGTGTGTGTGTGTGTGTGTGTGTGTGTGTGTGTGTGTGTGTGTGTGTGTGTGTGTGTGTGTGTGTGTGTGTGTGCCTGCTCTGTCTTCTCCATCCCCAGTGAGTCGTGGAGGATGGCTGCTTAGACTGAGCCAGGATTCTCTGGAGGTTTCTTCCTGTTAAAAGGGAGTTTTCCTCTCCACTGTCGCTATATGCTTGCTTAGTATGAGGATTGCTGTAAAGACTCTGACACTAGTTTGTGACTCGATACAATTTGCTGGGTTCCTTATATAGGAATTTTTTTTCTGATTGGCCTAATGACCTGACCTGAATTGGAATGTTTATCATGTGAAGTGCCTTGAGACGACTCTTGTTGTGATTTGGTGCTTTATAAATAAACTTGAATTGAATTGAATGAATAGTTTCTGATGCTGCATCATCTCCACCGTAATCTGTGATGTAACGTTGTCTTCTCCTTGAGCTCTAAACTGTAATTCCATCTGTGTGTATTTTAATTTGTGCTTTGATGTAGTTTTTATATCATGTCCTGATAATTGTAAAGCACAGTGAGTTGCCTCTGTGTTTGAAATGTACTCTACAAATGAAGCTACCTTGCCTATATTCTGCCTGTCTAAACAAAAGGTCGCCAACAGGAGCCTCCTATTGGATAACTACTGCATGGCTAATGATCTTTCAGCTGACAAAATGTTAATTAACACAACATTTTCTCATTCCTTACACAACCATGCCAAAGACCCGTCCCATGGTCGTGAAAAAGACATCAGCCAGTTTCAGAAGGGTCAGACCGTTGGCATCAAGCAGAGAAAGGAAGTTTGTTTATTTATAGAGTACCTATCACAGAAAAGTTCTGGACCAACTCATGGCGGTCAAGAGCTTTTTTGTTAAAACATGTAAAAGGTGAGTTACAGTAATCTAGACAGGAGGAGATAAAGGCAGGTGAACCATTTCAAGTTCATGTTTTGACACCAACAGTTTGGGGATGTTTCTCAGCCCTAACCCTGCCCCCACAGAGTCTGGACCTTAACCCTATGGGAATCTCTGTGATGTGTGAGAAGGCTTTGAGCAGCAGATGGACTCTCCCATCATGAGTTCAAGATCTGGGTGAAACTTTAACAGGACAAACCTGCTGATGCTGCAGCTCACTGGAACAAGTGAATGTGTGCCGTAATCAGAGCTAATCAGAGCTTTGGTGGTGATTTTTGTTTGGCCTGGAGGAAAACATCTAAAGGTTCTTGAGGAAAACATGTTTTTACTTACTAAAAATAGAAAATGCATTCACAAAACATGTAAAACCATAAAAGCAGGAAGAACAATGAAATGCAAATCATTTCTTACATTTATTACTTTCAGGTTTTAGCTGAATCTCCAATTTTGATGTTAAAGAAATAATTTTGTGTATGACTGAGTTACAGAAATATGACCCAAAACGACCAGGAAAAACAACCCAGTGGATTTTAGAGTGTTTTCTTGCAATGTTGGGTCAGTTAAAGCTGCAGCAGACCAACAGATGTTTGTAGCAGATCACTACTTTGATACCATGTAAGGCCTACGGAGCTAACAGGTGCTAGTTTACACCAGTAACTAAGGGCTTACCTCCTTCAACTGGGCCAGACGGTCCTTCATTTTGACAAGTTTAACTAAAATCAAAATATAAAACAGAAAAACGTTGACAAAACCCCCCAAATGAATATCTGCAAATACTCCCCCCCACCCCCTGTAGAAGAGAGTCTTTTAGATATCACAGGAGACATTAACAGGAAGGCAGAGCCAAAGGAAGAGCTGCTGATAATTTATGTGATGACCAAAATCATCATCACGATGCTTCAGCTGGTTTCCTCTAAAGAGAAGTTTGCTCGGCCTACCTGACAACGACTAAGCTTCTGTCCACTAAGAGCGGATTAGGACAAGTGTGATCAGAGATAAACCTCTCTGGCTCCTCCCACTTCCACTACAGAACCCTGCTACAGACAGCAGGGTTTACTTTAAGTCTGGTAATCAGACCAATCAGAGCTCACACACACACACACACACACACACACACACACACACACACACACACACACACACACACACACACACACTACAGACCTGTAGACATCTGTGGTCATGAAATCATTTGAGCACCTGGTTCTCCCCCACATCAAGACCCTTGCAGCCCCCCTCCTGGATCCCCTGCCTACAGAGTCAACAGGTCTGTAGATGATGCCGTCAACATGGCTCCACACTCCTGCAGCATCTGGACTCACCAGGTACCTATGCCAGGATCCTGTTGGTGGACTTCATCTCTGCCCTCAACACTATCCTCCCAGACCTTCTCCAAGACAGAATGTCCCAGAAGAACATGCCTGACCCCATCTGCAGGTGGATCACTGACTTCCTGACAGACAGGAAGCAGCAGGTCAGTCTGGAGAAGAATATCTCTGACCTGCAGACCATCAGCACCGGTTCTCCTCAGGGCTGTGTTCTCTCCCCTCTGAACTTCTCCCTGTACACCAACGGCTGCACCTCCAACCACGAGTCTGTCAAGCTAATCAAGTTTGCAGACGGCACCACCGTCATCAGACTCTTCTCTGACGGGGATGAGTCTGCCTACAGAAGGAGGTGGAGCGGCTGGTGTCCTGGCGCAGCCACAACAACCTGGTGCTTAAAACCCAGAAGACAGTGGAGGTTGTTGTAGACACCCCCCCCCCCCCATAACCCTGTCTGACATCACGATGGTGAACTCATGTCTCATCCTGGGCACCACCATCACCTCCACCATAAAAAGGCCCAGCAGAGGATGAACTTCCTGATGCAGCTGAAGAATTTCAACCTACCAGTACAGTGGATGAGGGTTAGGGTTAGGGTCCATCCTCACCGCTTCCACCACCGTGCGGTACGCTGGAGCTACCACCAGGGACCAGAAGAAGCTGCAGCGTGTTTACGCTCTGCTGAGAAGGTCATTGGCTGTAAACTCTCCTCCATACAGGACCTGTACCCCTCCAGGTCATAGAGGCGTGCAGGTAAGATCACACCTGACTCGTCTCACCCTGGAAACAGTCTTCATGACTCGCTCCCATCTGGCAGGTGGCTCCGATCCATTCGGACCAGAACCTCTCGCCACAAGAACCGTTTCTTCCCCTTTGCTGTTGGACTCATGAGCGTCTATCGTAGACCCGCCCACTCCAGATGCTTTGTTCCAGTCACATGACCCGTGTTGTGTTTCTACCTGAACTGACCCGCTCTGACCAGAACCTACACTGACTTGTATAAAGTATAAAGTACCTATATCATGATTTTATTGTGTTTATTTCTTAATTCTAATTTTGCTGATCATTTATTTTTTGTGCGCCAAGTACCGCAGCTATTTCCTAATGTTGTCATTCTCACACGTGTGAACAGAGCCTTCTGGGGGATAGAGGTCAAACCAATCAATCAATCAATCAATCAGTGATGATTAAAAGGAAGCTGCAATTCTCCTCAGTTTAAACTAAATTAGCACTTTCGAACTCTGGTTTTTACATTTCCTTAATTATATACTGAATAGGAATTATTAGCTGTTGCTCTTAAAACTTCAGATCTTCAAACAGACGTTATTGCAAAGTAGGACCATGAATACACAAAGAGGACTACAAGAAGTTTGACCTCACACTTTATTTACATGGTCCAAAAGCACACAGATACCTCAGAGACTCTACATTTTCCCCTCCTACATCCACATTACAAAGGTAGCCTTAATCCATCCATTCTCCTCTGCTTACCCAAAGTCGGGCCGCAGGGGCAGCCTCCTAAACAGAGAGGCCCAGACTTCCCTCTCCCAGCCACTTGGGCCAGCTTCTCCAGGGGAATCCCAAGGCTTTACCTGGCCAGGTGAGAGACATAGTCCCTCCAGCATGTCCAGGGTCTTCCTTTAGGTCTCCTCCCAGTTGGAAGTGCCCGAAAGACCTCACCAGGGAGGTGTCCAGGAGGCATTCTATCCACTACTCCAAAGGGCCTGGTACCCCATACTCCCAGAGTACCCCCAGGGGCCCCCAATGGACACAGTCGAACGCCTTCTCCATATCCACAAAACACATGTAGACTGGTTGGGCGAACTCCCACGCACCCTCCAGGACCCCGCTAAGGGTATAGAGCTGGTCCAGTGTCTCATGGCCAGGACAAAACCACATTGCTCCTGAATCCATGGTTTTGACAATCTGATGGACCCTCCTCTCCAGAACCCCTGAATAGACCTTATCAGGGAGGCTTCAGGAGTGTGATCCCCCTGGAGTTGGAACACACTCTGCAGTCCCCCTTTTAAATAAGGGAACCCCCACCACCAGTGTTGTTTTTGTTAACAAAAACAATGACGATTTGATTTCGTTGACGCCCCTTTTAACAAAACAAAAACGAGATGCTGACGAGCTAAAAACAGCTCTTTGGTGACTAAAACATGACGAGATGAACAGGTTTTCATTAATGAGCCAAGCCGACTAGACTAAAACTATACTCTAAATACACATTTCTGTCTGTCTCTTAAAAGTTATAACTGTGTCAGCGCTGCTGTTGGCTGTGTCCTCTGCTCAGACCAGCCTCAGCAGCTGGGTGAAGCTAGTGCCCCGCCCACATCAGAAAGAACTAACCACACTATTTGCGTGGATTTCTGATGTGGTTTGGGAGCCAACTTTACTCAGCTCGCCGAAGCGCTGCTCTGCCATGGGAACGTGCAGCGCTCAGCCGTTCATTGACGCTACTACAAGTGATGATGTTACTACTTACATAATATTAACACGTTTCTTATCCGTGTGCTTCCTGAAATAGTCATGCTTTTGGACAGATAGATGAAAGAAAAGACGTTTTCTTTCTTTCTTTTCCCCCACGATGAGCAGATCCACGTTGATGAGCATGCGCTGACGGGTCGATCACCGGACACACGGCAGCGTTTGAAGCAGATGGCAGCTTGTTAATCAACTTCCACAAACAATTAAGACAGATTTTCGCCTAATTTACTCACTGACAACGCAAACAAATAAATAAATCTGGTAACTATAACACACTCAACCTGGATGTAAGTAGAGAAAATTTAGAAAATTTGCAAATATATATTGACGAGGTTTTTGAGCTTTTTGGCATGGGACCGAAGAAAGCAGCAGCTGAGACGGAAACACCTGGGACCAAGAGGAGCCGTCCCCAGGACTCGCCCGAGGCCTCATCTCCCCGTAAGGATGTCATAGATTTACTACAGTCCACAGATAAATGGCTTCTGGGATTTGACGCAACCCTGGACTGACCATAGGGCATAGCGGGCAACTGCCGCTGGGCCGACTCTTTCATCTTTTATGGGCCGGTGTCTGTTTTCTTATTTATTTATTTATTTATTTATTTCTGGCCTCTAGTTGATGCGGACAACTTGTTTGCGCCACACGACGCCTCGTAAAAGTTGGTGGATTGGCCAATTGGTAATAATACACTCTGGGCTGGACCAATAGCCAGAGGTCTGATGCACCCGCCAGTTGTTTGTGAGTCTCAGTAAACAGACAGACGAGCTTTACAAAATGGAGAACAAAAAACGGAAAGGAGGAGCGGAGAAAATTCGACTAAAAAAGAAACTGGCCCTTCAGACAGATGCTGGCAAATGTGTTAAAATCTCACAGTTGTTTGGTAGTGAAGGTTCAAGTAAAATCAGTTTAGGAAGTGATGGAGCCTCAGCCCCGCGACGGGTTGGAGAAGAAAAGCAGGAGGAGGAGGAGAAACCCGAGCCCGAACCCTCTGTCCAAGTGGCAGAACCGAATTTCAGGTAAGAAGTTATCTGGGTCAAATATAAGCCAAGTTCAGGTTAGTTCAGGTCAGGTTCAGTACCTGATGGTTTATTGTCATCGTCCTGCTTGCTAACTTTTTTAAGTCAGTTACAATAACTCATCTTACTGTTTATTATACGGAGTTTCTACTGTTGGCCGGGTGCTATGATGTTACTGACAGTTCATTTTCAGGATTGCCAACCTTCCCGTAAAAAAACCGAATCGTCCGTATGAGTCGAAACAGAACGTGATTTGTCCTGTAGTTTAGCTCGACTGAAACAAAAAAAGAGAGACATCGTTGTGGTGTATTTATGCTGCTCGGCCGGCCGTCTCCTCTTTCCCCACCATTTTTTTCTTCTTTTGTTTTATTGGCAATAAAGGCGGGTGACATCTAAACTCAGGTGCATTTGATCATCAGCGGATCCGTTTATTAGCCGATGTTTGCTGTAAAAGCTGCTGGTCATGGTGTCAGTTTGCATCTGATGAGAGAGAAACATCGAGAAGAAATAGGAGATGTCCAGAATCAATCATCCGAGCAGCTGAACAGTTAATGGAGAAACTGTTCACATTTTAGATTACATGTATGACTTGAAGAAAAGTTATGAACAAATGTCACCAGGATTCTTTTTTTACTAGCTGATAGAAGGCTGGTGACTGTGCAGGGGAGGCTCTAACAGTTTTGCCTGGGGGCAGGTATAAGGCGGGGGGGGGGGCAGAGGGGGGGAGACAGAAATACTTTTATTTCTTATTTTCATTTTAAATGTGTAGAACTTAAATCAGGGATGTCAAATTCATTTTCATTTTTGGCCACATAAAGATCATGAATGCTCTTCAAGGGCCGATTATGCAGAAAGTATTGAAAAAACTATTAATAGACTAGTAAAATAGTAATAAATATGTCTCTGCATTTTAGCAGTACTACTTAAAATGAAATAATTGTGAAAATCTTCTCCCAATGATGTGATTTACGACTATTCAAATAAACACTTATTTGATTTGACTATAAATTGGACGTACATAGAACTTCAAAGTTCTATTTATATTGTCCTCCATGAGATGCTGTTTGTAAAGTTACACAGTTAAAATTAACAATAATGTTGGTTATTTAGCCTGTCATATGAGAAATTAAAAGGGAATTAATATTTCAAAGTCATTGTTTATTCATTAAGAAATGTTTGAACTTCAAACTATTTGGTAAAACTTTTTGTCATGTTGTGATGGTGGAGATGATGGACCAAGTGTGGTGGAGCTGACCAGGAGGCAGGAATGCAGGCACGGATAAAGTAAAAATGGGTTTAATGACAGGATACGGCAGGAAC